TGGGCTGCTGTTCGCGGAGGAGGGGACCGCGGGAAAGTTGGCAGCTCGGGTGCGCCCCGGAGAAGGCGGTGTCTCCGCGGCCCCTGCGGAGCCCAACTTGTGCGCGCACCGGGAGCTGTCTCCCTGCCCTTCAGCGAGTGGCCGGCGTGACTTTTCCCAATCGGACGGGTGGGGGCGGGGAGCTGCCGGTTAATTGCGTGGAAGGAAGGGAAACTCGGAGGAGGCGTGCTGATCACTGGCCCCGCTCGGTGCCCCGGAGGTGCCTGCCCGCGTGGTTACCCTCCCGCCGGCGGGTAGGGCGCTCAGGCTCCCTTTCCAGGCTCCCGATCGCAGATTTCCCCGATGAAGGGTCCTTAACACCGAGGGCCCGTCAGCGCGACATCGCTGTGACTTCCGAGGGGGGAGTCAGAGGGGGACCTGCAGGATGCCTTACGGGCTGCCACGGCCCGCCCCTGACGGGAGGGAGAGAATAAACCCCACCCCAATGTAGAGGATGGCTTTTGTGTGGAACACAAGTGCCAGAGTCACAATGGAAGGGTGAGATGGCTAACCTTTTTGCGACGTTGAGTATATGGATTCTATTTGGGGATAGAAAGTAGGAAAACTGCCAGTAAGGGGTAATTTACTCTTCAGTTAGAGAAAATTCATTCTCTAGTTGACCTGTGTCTTCCTGCCGTGGTGGATGACTTCAGGTAGATGGTTTGTCATATTATTAGAAGCCAGAGTCTACCCCTGTTTGGGTGGGTCGTTTGTCACTCAAAAGACGGACATGGTTCACTAAATCTCCCAACCCTCACCCTGACTTTGTTGTATGTTAGGATTCTTTCACGGGCGGGCCTGTGACTACTTAATGGTCTTCTCCCTGTCCCTAGTTCAGGATGCTTTATTCTGCTGCCATCTTTCTGTCTGTACTGTTGAATCAGGCTTAAGGATGACCACTTTAATTCTGAATCTTCTCATTCAGGTTCGATTTGTTATCATGAAGGCGCTAAGAAGAGTCTAGGAAAGTTACTAAAGCAATTAAGATTTGAGCAGAAAGGGGCCTTAAAGATCATCTAAATACTTTGGATTAAATATGTTTAATATAAATCATTAAATCCTTTCAAATGGGTATTTCAAGGCCTTTGTTCTAGTTGAATGCTTGGAGCTTCCATCTCTGTAGGATTTTGAATGTGAAATTTCATTTAACGAAAAAAAAATCCCCACAAGGCTGAGTCACCATTTGGTCAAGATCATTGCTAGCTGATTGGGTGAACCTGTGTCTACAGAAATAAAGTACATTTTCAAGTCTTAAAAACTGGGGCCTTTTCTCCCCTCTTAGAACAGGCTCCCCTAAATACGAATATTTACGAATTGCCACATTTGGGAAGGAAGTGGAAAAGTCTTAGAAAAACAAAAGAGAAACAATCCTTCAACTTTCATGTGAAAAATTGGATTTCTGATCCTTTCCTCTCAGATTTTGAAAGTCTGTGTTTGAGATAGTTTGGCAATGCATCATTTTACTTAATGTTTTAATCACTCCTTGGAGCCTTATCTAGCATTCGTTAACAAGGAGAAGAGAAACTACAATGTCTAAAGTCAACATGAAATTAGCTTTTTAGGTTTAAGGTGGACTGTTTTTTTATTTCAGGACTTTTGAAGGATAGCTGTAGAATTTTCTCGTGTCTTCAAACAGGACATCTTTATTTTTAATCCTTTTGAGTACAAAGCATACGTTCATTTAATTCTTCTGCCATAGACCTGGGCGTTCTGATACAGAGTATTTCAGTATCCATAGAATTTATGATTACGGGAATTATTAAGCTTGGTATTAACTCTTGTTGCAAATTCATGCTCTTTTAATAAAACCGTCACCACTTACACTTTCTCATAGATCCCAGTATGTGGAAAGAATCGTGAGAGCTTAACAAAGACAGTTTTAGTAATTCAGAACAACATATCCTTCAGTTAAAATCTTGTCAATGGTTTCACCACCCTCTGACCTATAAATCTGTAAAGGAGGCAAGTTTAGTTTCTGTTTTGTCATTCTGGCTTTCAGTACTCATCTATTCCAGTAGGGGTTTCTGTATTTTCCCTGTTAAAACTTGCTGCTGGTATGGTTCATTTTTCTTGATCCCTGCTCTCTGCCTGCTGCTGATCATGTGAACATCCTATGTTAACCTGTCCAGGTAAGACTGCCGGAACCCATTTAATATGCACATCTCCAGAAAAGACTTATACAGAGGGACCTTAGTGCCAGGCATTCCCATTTGGCTCAGGTCTTGCCCTTGGGAGGAACTACTGACTCTTATGCCAAAGACTGGATATCCATTCTGGCTTTGGATCTTTGGTGACGTTTTTTGTGGAGAGAGAGATGTGCTAGACCAACACTCAAGATTGTTTTAACAGTAATTATTATGTCCTGTTAGGCAGGTAGAGGTGAAACTACTAGGAAGTAGTGATTTATATTTTACCATAACAAACAAAAGTGAAGTGATAGGGCAAGTAGTTACTTGATGACTATCCAACTTTATTTGTCTTCATGTGCTTGTAGGGTTGGGGTATTTCAGGGTAACTTAAATTCTTGTTAAAGTAATGTAAATGCTGGGATTAAACCCCAGAATCTGATTGAGGAGGTCTGAGGTGTTGGACCTAGGAATCTGTGACTTCATTTTGAGGATGTTAGAAGTATTCACCAGAAGGGAGCAAATTCAGAATTTGGAGGCATATTGACAGAGAAGGACTGCTTGGCCTGCATGTGCCGTGTGTGTGTGTGTGTGTGTGTGTGTTTCCCCCTGTGCTTTCTAAGCCTGAACAAAATCTAGAGAATAAAAAAGCATTGATATTTTGAAGCCCCAGAACTGGAAACATAACAGTTTGTCATTTTTTTCATATGAACGAAGCCCCCAGAAATCACTGTGGTACTGCCAGTATAACCTGGTACATAATCAAACAGGGAGACTTTCCTGTCTTACAAAATTATTTTTGTTGTGCTTTTTTTAAATTGCAGCCCAATTGGAAGTATTTCCCAACTTCCAAAATGAGAAGTCTGTACAAGTTAGATATTCATGGATTGTAAGGCAGTATAAAATTGTGATTTCATCTTTTCATGTATAAATAATAATTGTCCTATGGTATACATTTTAAAACATTTTTAGCATCATCTATCAAAAATGTGAACTTATCACATTTTGTTTATCTATTTTTTCCTTTTTTTCTATGATAAATTACCACATTGAGAGGAAACCCTTAAGAAATGGAAAATCTGAGTGTTTTTAGTCTGTGATAGAATATAAGTTAAATTCTGTTTTTAACCTACCTGTCTTAAGTTTTTATTTTAGTAAAGGGAAATAGGAGCTATT